AATTTGATTCTTTTCAGCAACAGATTGTACATATGTCAACAACTGCCTGATGTTACGATAAACATTGCAGCATTTATGGAAAATACAGCTTTTGTCATTGTGCCGATGGTGTTTGCAAATGTTTCTTGTTTTTCTACCAGACACAGGCATCTCTATGAGAGTGGAAATTTCTCTAGAGGTACGTTAAACAACAAACAATCAATCTATCAATCTGTCAGACTCAAAAATTCTCACAGCTTCATATTTTGTATACATAATTGTTGGTTTTTTAAAAGAAAGAAATTGTTCAAGTTTCATATTTATTTAGCTTTTGTGTGTTGCCTCGACTTCTTTAATGAGTCATAGAAGATCTAACCTGTATATCTGGCTCAGACGCAAAGATGAACAAAACTTTTTTTTTTACTTTTTTAATACAGATGCCTGAGAGAATCTTTCTGAAACTTTCCACAAAAAACAATCACTAGTTGTACAGTGCAGATGCTCAGTTTCTAAATGGGTACGTCGCCATGAAACCGCGCAAAAAGTAAGGATTTTTATTTTTGAGTGATTTCTTTTGTCCATTGAACTTCATGAAACGTTAAAGAAACGATTATCAGTAATTGTAGTTGTGCGATTCACCTTTAAAAAAATTCAAATTTTTAGTTGTTGCTACAGAGAAAAAAATTAAAATTCTTTAACTTTGATTTCATTTTTTATTAAAAAAAAAAAGGATTGACAGCACACACTTACCGTAGAAACAAACCAGAAAAGGGTATTATGCCCATATATGTTCTCAGAGGTAGCTTGAAAAATCTTGATGACACTTTACAAAATTTCTACTTAGAATTTCCATGTATTCAGCCAACCTTCTTTTATATCATATACCTAGTAGTGTATCAGCCCTGATACAGGCGTTTTGGACTAGGCGAGACAGCGCCTGGGAAGAAGGGCTGTCTCTCCCTCGGGGCTGATATATCTCTGTCTCGGCCCGTCGTCAAGGGAATGTCTCGCCCTCAAATTTAAAATCATTATTTCTGTTTGAAGTGTGAATTAAAAGTAAAATTCATATTTAAATATTAAAGAGAAACAATATATCTCGAAAAAATTAACCTGATTTTTAAAAAATTATTTATTTATACTAGAATTTTGAGAAAATTGTTTTAAAAAGTGCGCCAAATGATATCACTTGTGACGTAAGAGAGGTAACTCTTGTTTACTTCTAGGACAGCAACAAATCATGTTTTGAAAAAACTGGACGATTATTTGCTTTGACAGTAAGACAATACCAAATTTTCATTTAATGTGTCATTTTTAATTAAATATTTATCGTAAACAAAACAAATAGTTACTATTAATCTCAGACTTACAAATTGTAATGTTTTGTTGAAGAAGTTGTAACCCCGGTTCGATACAAAGTGAAAGTAGAATATTTTTAAGTTTGGGACCTATTTTAAAAAAAATATATTTGTTAGGCCTTATCTAACGTGCTTCAAAAGGAAATGTTTCAAAACACCAGGACTATTCTTTTTAATGACCGGACCAGGCAAATCTTACTCTATATAATATGATTATTCACTGTCAAGCAACATCTTCAGGAACATCGAAATAAAGATAACTCTAATTTTCTTACGACACATTCGAAAAATATCTGAATTTTTGTTCTTTTCTTTGGTTTTAGATATATGATATAAACAACATCACACCACTGTTTTGATCTCGTCCCTGGTATCGGCCCTCGGGTCGTCTCGGCCCGCGCCCTCCGGGCTTGGGCCAATACGAACAGCTCGGGCTGATACCAGGGCCGAGATCAAAACAGCAGTGTGATATTCTATATTTCTTTAATTTTATCATTTTTCAGTAACTATGCAAGCAATTTTATGGAAACTTTCAATCTTTATTCCTTTACTGAATGAAATTATTTTTCGGAAAAAAAAAAATGGAATAGGCCTAGTGGACTTTTACGAGAAGCACCGACTTCTACAGTTGACGTTTACTTGGACATTTAAACTTGTATCATGTACGGAAGTACAGAATTGATAATGCATAGAAAAACTTTTCTTGTGGTCATAGGTATGGTGTTAGGGGCACTAACTTGTGAAGTCCGGGAGCTGAGGGTAGGGTCGTTGTCGTTTTCTTCAAGGACAACTTATATGTGCATTAAAATAACCGTTATTTCCGTTTAATTAAATGTTGAGCTAAATATTTATATCGTAAAGGAGCTACCGTACATAGCCCTAGTGTAAAAGTAAGCGTCAACTGTAAAAGTCAGCGCTCCTCGTAAAAGTCCAATATTATTCAGCAACCGAAATGAAATCATATTTTGGTTCACCTTAGTTTTATATACTCTAGTGTTTTCGTAGATAGCTTTCAAAATCCTTATAAAATTTGTCAAAGATAGAAAGACACCAACCCTAATTGTGTATACGATATTTTTTTTAAAGTGCGCTGAACACATGATTAAGGAAAAGTCGCGGTCAGTTGACCATTGTATGCTATCAGAAGTTTAAAATATTCAAAATTGACATATGATTTTGAAGAATTTTTTCCATAGAAAGGGAAATATTATTGAGATTACCATTTTTGGAATAAAACCAAAAGTTCCTCCAAAATACAATTTATATAATAAGCATTAAAACGAAATCAATGTTGTCACCTGCTTTTAGCAAGGACCAGTAGGTAATCTGATCATGTAATATATCTAATTCTTTTTTTCACTTTTGGATGATTGAATACAAAAGGATTGATGGTTTTCATATTGCCCCTTAAGCTTCACTCTTTAATACGCGATTGTAACATAGATTTGATCCATTTAATCCATTCTAGTAGAGTGTAAACATCTTTTTCATATCTTGCCCATCGCCTGACGTAATCTTCTACAATAAATTTCCGTCAGTTGAAGGATCGGGGTTCCCTATATTTAGGACCTTTTAAAATAAGTAATCTAAGGTCCTCATTTTCAACTATATATAAGTCACCTGTAATAAGATGTCCAGCAGGACTATAGTTATAGTTTGAAGAAGAACATAAACACGATGGAGGCTTATGTTTCAGATATTCGATATTCAGGCCCTGTTGAATTTTTTTCATAATAGAAAAATTGGAAGCAATAGTTGATGTGTATTTGTAGGAAAACTAGATGCATTCTTTAACTATAAATATGGTGGAATACAAGACGCGGCCCTTTTGTGATTAATATTACTTATTCTAACTGTGTCAATTCCTTTCTTTTAATATCAAGGTTTAAAGAAAACAATACACTTTTAGATTATTTTTAAGGTAATTCCATCTTCACATTTTTATAGTGTCAAAGAAAAAAAAATGATTTTATTATCACTGAATATAGTTAAAATTAACTAAGAATAGCAAAAAATGTACAAGTATAGGTTGCCACATTTCTTAGGAAGTAAGATGATATTAAACAGAAGTGTGTGTCAGCATTAAAATTGTTCCTGTTTTGTCAACAGCATTATAAACGTAAGGCAAAAACTGGTAAAAATGCATAATTCTGAATCAGTTGCTAAAGTTCCAAAGCATAATGCTATTTTATGAAATAATAAAATTATGAAAATCAGATACAGAATATTACATTATATGTACAATAAAGAAATGCCTGGATGAAATGAGGAGTTATTGCCATTGGAAATATTTTTAAAGATTGAATAATTGAATAAATAAAGGAAATATTTTTATAATTATTTTACTTAACAATTATATGCATTACGTCAACCGAAAAGCCATCAAAAATATTTTAAAATTGCTATGAATATATATTAAGGTGAAATATTCATCTGCTCCAAATTTCACCATTTGTTTTTTAAAATCCCAAACACCGATTATCATCAATAACAATATCATTAGATTTAAATTAATAATAGTTTAATAGCGTAACTTACTTTTTCATAAATGAATATTATGTGTAATCATGATGTGAAGAAAATTTGAAATTGTAATTAGAAACATCAATAATTTTTTATCTCACAATAAATGAAAAATATGAGGTATATATGAAAATGATGTTTAATGTCAAACCTATCTAATTCTGATTAGAAAAATATAATCACCTAAACATAAATTTACAATACGTATATATTAATTTTACTTTTTACGCTCACAAAGTAACAAGGCTGAATTTTCATTTTTCCATATCTTTAAAATACGAAAATGTGCCTTTTCGAATAGATATTCCAGTTGGCTAATAGTGTATTTGTGACTAAGTCCATTCCCTCCATGGAGCATTAATTTTTCGCCTTCTTCAAAAGATATTGTCATTCCCAACTTATCTGAAATTAGATTTAACTATATCAATAAATTATCAGATGTATTTTATGCCTTCCATATGATAATGGTGCAAATTTAAAACCAAGTTTCCCGCAGCTCTGTTATTTTTCAGATTGAATGAAAACCAAGAATGAGTATTGTTGTAAATATGTCATTTATTAATGACACAAATGAAACACATGAAATTTGGGAGATCCTATGACTTTCTACAATTTGTATCTACACCTTGTTATGGATCTCCCAAAACTTTAAAATAACATCATGACAATACTCATATATCAAACATTTAAGCTGAAAAGTAAGGTGGCAACAAACAATAGGCCACCAAACAAAAGAAATTATCAAAATACATCCCAAAGTAAAGTTTAACCTTAGGGACGGTTGTACGGGGAGGTGGAGGGTATGTTTTTCTACAAAAAATGGTGTGTACAAACACTTGCAGCATCCACCAGCGATAACAATCACGTGATATATCCGACGTTAGCTCACAACTAATCAACGCAAAGCCCCAAAACCTGAGACTATGCATTACATAACGTCCTAGCTCTGAAACCTGATATATACATGAAATATACTAAAATCAGTACAAAATTGCTATGAATATATATTAAGGTGAAATATTCATCTGCTCCAAATTTCACCATTTGTTTTTTAAAATCCCAAACACCGATTATCATCAATAACAATATCATTAGATTTAAATTAATAATAGTTTAATAGCGTAACTTACTTTTTCATAAATGAATATTATGTGTAATCATGATGTGAAGAAAATTTGAAATTGTAATTAGAAACATCAATAATTTTTTATCTCACAATAAATGAAAAATATGAGGTATATATGAAAATGATGTTTAATGTCAAACCTATCTAATTCTGATTAGAAAAATATAATCACCTAAACATAAATTTACAATACGTATATATTAATTTTACTTTTTACGCTCACAAAGTAACAAGGCTGAATTTTCATTTTTCCATATCTTTAAAATACGAAAATGTGCCTTTTCGAATAGATATTCCAGTTGGCTAATAGTGTATTTGTGACTAAGTCCATTCCCTCCATGGAGCATTAATTTTTCGCCTTCTTCAAAAGATATTGTCATTCCCAACTTATCTGAAATTAGATTTAACTATATCAATAAATTATCAGATGTATTGCATGCATTGGTAATGACATGACAAAGGAAATCGAATTAATAAAAAGGACTGATACATTCCAATCTAAAAAAAGAAACATTTACTGGAGTATGTAAGATATTGACAATCAACAACATTACCGTTATTAATGATCATAAAATCAGTACAGTATAACATGTTCAAACCATATCTTTAAATGTTTACCGCAAAATTGCATAGTTTATATATTTTTGTACCTATTTCATACGACTGTTTACATAGAGAACGCATCCACACTTGTAGGTAGCTGGCACTAGAAACGTCCTTATCTTCTACATATCTTCCCTCCAGTTTAAATTGTGACACATTGATATTTGCTTCAAACATTCTATTTAACACATGGAATCCATTTGCGTACAATTTTGCACAAGGATTTTCCTCTTAAAGTAATGAAAGGAGAAATAAAGATAGTTTATATTCTCTTTATATCTCCATGTAACAGAAGCATTTACAGTGTTGTTAACGCTTTTCATTTTTTTCTATATAGTAAAAACTCTAATACAATGGTAAGCCACATTTTATTGTGTGTTTTATTATGCATGTTTCAATTATGTAACCGGCACCATTGGAAGAAATCAATTTTATACAATTAACTCTGTTTTTGTTTTTTATTCTATATACCATCAAAATTAAGGTAGGCTTTTTCAATGGCCTCTCTACTTTGAGTAATATCAGCAGTTATCATACAGGCACCATTTCCTGTAAGTAAACAACAAAAAACAGGTGAAATACATGGAGATAACGAACAGTTCAAGCTCAAAAGTCAATAAAACAATATTAAAGAAGAACAGAGCAAACACGGACCTTCAAAACGTCAGAAGTGAGATCAGGTGCCACGGAGGACTGAGCATCCTCTGCCTATCGGTAACACCAAATGTGTGCTTCTAGTCATGATCGTGAAACAACGGGAAAATCCGTTGACAATTCAGTGTGTATAAATTAGCCTAACAATTAGTATGAAAAACATTGACTTGCTGATAAATTTTATTTGCTGACAAACTCATTTCATCGACCAAAGAACTAATAAAATAATTACTTTAAACTAAACTGCTGATATTCTTGTTTCATCAACTTGTTTGTCAATAACGTAACACGTCGTAAAAAATGTTCTTATGTAGAGCATGCTCTTTTCACTTCAAATTACATTTTTGTGCAAATTTGAATTAAAAAAAAATGAAAAACTACCCGGTGAAAGTTATTCATTTTACTAAATTTGACATGAACCAAGTTGTTTTTTTTCATATTTTTTGATAAAAGTTTGCTTGTATTATCTGTCCTTAAAGCTAAGTGAATATGAAATCTTGAACGGACTTAAAATACCTTAGGTATTGAATTACCTTCTAAGGCCGAGAAAAACTTTGACAATATATCTAGCTGCATATCTTTTGGAAACACCTGTAGTCCGCTTATCCAGAGAAGAGCTTTGTTACCTCTATAGCTCCTGTAAAATTAGATCGACAATAGAACACAGGCACGAGGAATTTCCTAGCTGTTATTTTTTCACGATAAGATATATAACGAAAAGTTAAGACCAAGTTTTTCTGTGCCCTCTCAATAACTTGCGTCGAAATCGCTGATTCTTTTTGGATATGTTTTCATTGATTTCAAGAGCCAGCAGTTACCCGTAGAAGGGCTGTAAATTTAACCTGAAACGAGTAGTTTTTGCAACTAAACAGTGAGGGATCTTTTCATGCTAACAACTACTGCAATCAAGGATCTCAATTTTACAGTTCAGTACGTCTTGCAGTTGCATTCCACACATCGTCGCAAACCACGGCCAAAATGTACGATCCTCTCCCATTCTGGCCATGGTTGAACGAGTAGAGAATTCTTCGTAGCTCATTAAAAAATTGACCAATGCGAGTAAAGCATAGTATGATGATGAACTTTATCGCGACCTTTCAATGTCCAATCGCAGTCTAAGAAATATTTCTTGTATACTGTTGACGTCAGTTGTTGATTTCAATTGCAATGGAAACAAAACTTGCCACTGACTTAATATGACGTCACAATAGAAAGGCGTAAATATTCATGATTACGATACTTTTTGCGATCAGGCAGCCACGGGTAGGAGAGAGCTATATATGCGGACTCCGGACCGTGGCTTGAGACGATGCATTCCACTTTGGGATGCAAAATCTCGACATGATGATCTTTTTTTACTCAACGACTCTCGGGCGTAAACTCTTACCAAGGGCTTTTTGTCATTATGATTAATAATGTAGTCCATACCGTTTTTAAAATGTTTTTTACCTGATCTTGGACAATGCCCGGAAAAAATCGTCTGCCATTGGATCAATTTTGAGACGATCCCCATAAGTATGCCGGAGGGCATTACAAACTTCATCTAGAAAATCTACAAACATTTAAAAAAGCAATGTCTTAAAATGCTCCGTAGGAATGAAAATACAATGATACAGTATGTGTGCATTGCATATGGTTTCTCGCCTTTTGAAATGTCAACAGGTGCATATTCTACGGTGTTTTGAAGCTGTAGTAATTCATCCAAGAAGAATTGAGATTTTTTAGCATTTCCACATCCAATGTCAAACAGTTTACAGGGAGTACATAGTTGGGATATCACATCCTATATAGAAATGAGATACGTTTTCAAAAGTTAGGTAAAGTTTTTTTGGTAAAAATGTTTAACCTATGAATAAATGATTAATGATACAAATTCAAAATGCAAATCAATTTTACTCCACCTAGAAATAAGAAAGAATGGCGTTTTCAAAATTGAGATTTTCGTTTAATTGTCTCAAAAGATAATTTCAGATAATTGAAAATGACAAAACGAAACATACCTTAGCACAAGACTTAATAAGATCCACATCTGCTCTATAATGATAAAAGTCCTCCATATGTAAACATTGTTCATCATACTCTGATCCCTGATGGTCATAACGCAAAGAGACTGGAATATACTTAGGACTACTGGACAGCCCTTCTTTAACTTCTTTCATTAGGTCCATGGTCGGATGCCTGTTATAAAATCGAAGTAGTAATCACGCCCTTTATGATACATATGTACTTGAAATGGGATATGAATTCCCTACTTTTTGCTTCACAGGATTTCAGTAGTGCGGTACACGTATGCGAATAAATTTCAAATAATGTATTACTAATGAATTCATGAATGATTTTGTAAAAAATAACCCGACCATTACTATATGGAATTGGCTTTTAAATCCATGTTAAAACCAATGATACCTTCTTGGTGGAAACGAATGTTAAAAATACCTTTAAATATGTATTACAGATTTTAAAGATCCTTGGTGGATTTCCTCTTCAAGCTGAAGGTAAAACTTATGTCGGAAAAAGTCTTTGTCAGAAAATTTTCAATATAAGCACTTGCTTTTCAATCAGTTAAAAGTCCATTTCATGTTTCCTTGTTATTAAATGTATCGCAGTCTGTGAAATTTTAATAATTACATACTACGACTACACATTTTCCGTCATTTTTAGGGCTACTTATGAAAAATCACAAAAATACTTTATAGACTTTACTAACTGAAATAACTGTTTCAAAAGAATGACTGAGAAAAAAAACAACTTATTTTTTCATAGTTTCCGTGTTGTGTCCACTCTCTGTAAAGAAAATTATTGGTGTTCCCGAACTTCGTTCAACTGGGGCGACAATTTAGTTTGTCAAAGGTCTGAAGTTTTTAATACGATGTTTTACTGAGGCTTTTAAAGCAGATCAACAACCTTTCTCACTGTTTGTATAAGCACATTACTCAAATATCTTGTCCTTGCGATGGCAAACACTTGGTTGCATATTTTGTTGCACTAATAAGTGAAACATATTGAGATAACGATTCGAACAGTATTCAAGATAAAAAGTCCTTAAAACAATACAAAATAGGGGCAGAACAAACAGAGCAAAATTAAATCTGGCTGATAAATTGACGTACTTTCGATGATGAAAATAAAACTTTCCTGCCAGAAAAAAGACACTTGAAAAAAATGTTTTGCAAGCAATTATTTTTTTTAATTTATTGCATTTAAAGGGAAAAAAATTTACAAAAGGAAAACAAACATTGAAACACACACAAAGGTCTCCAGATTTCACCAAACGATTCTCTATCATTATTTTTTTTATAAGGTATATATTTTTTAATTCATATATTGTCTTAATAGAGCATATCAACCCAAACAAGGAGATGTTTCTGTTTGTACAGACAATTATGATGCTTTATTTGTAAAGCAATGACATTTTTAAGCTTGTCGGTTTTCTTCAAATAGCCCAATAAAAATTCCTTTTTTGTAAAAGGTATAGAAGTGTGGATTTATCGAAACAGTAGTTTGCAAAATTCTCATAAAGAGTCTGAACATGTTTACAATCCATGTTCTATTGCTTCAGTTTCTTTCTTCTTTTTTTTTAACAAAAGGTACATGTTTTATTATCAAATTGAATTTTGTTAGTTTGTGCAGGAAGGAATTTGTCGCAAATATTTTAAGACTTATTCTAAATTGGAACCACTGAAGTTTGTTTGTTTGTTTGTTGTTGTTTTTTTTTTTTTTTGTAATTTTGAATGCAAGTAAATAAATTCTCTTCCATTCAAAAATGCTCAAGTTAAAGATTCTAATCCAAGAGGTTTTACCCAATTTTCAATTTCTTGTTGAATTAGTAATTCATATTTAAATCATGTGATTTTTTTTTGGCATTCGTGAGCGAATTAAAATTATCTGGGATATATGGATAAGATAAATGTATATCTTTGACAAAAATATTTGGATCCCTGTTTATCTTTCTTGGCCATTCTAATATTGATGTCTTAATGCCATTATATTCAAGAAAATGTGTTTTTAACCATATTTCATATGTAGGTCACTCAAACTCATAAATGTCTCATCTTCATAGAGTATGTCATTAGCTTACATGAAATGTACGTGAAAACCATCTTTTACAGAAGAATGTCTTTTATTAATAACTTTTTTTTTGTTTATAAATAATGGTTCTAAAGAAGTGTTTCATTTGTAATGATTTGTCACAAAAGCTTAACCATGCATGTAACACATCCCTCCAAATAATATATTTGAAATTAAACATTTTTTGACAATGTAATCTTGCCCAAAGCATACAATTTTTTAAAATGACAATATCTAAAAAGGAATCTAACCCACTGATCTGTAGTAACAATTTTTTCATCCAAACGAGTTATAGGACATTAGGAACTCTTTTATACTAATCATCTTGAAACCTCCTTCTTTATAATTCATTACAGAAATATTTCTTGACAGTCTTTAAATGTTACTTCCCATTACAAATGTATAAAAATATTTTTTAATTCTTCATTTAAATTTCAGAGGGACTTGGGAGAGACGCAAACATATGATGTTAGGTTGGTAATAAAAGGGGTTTTTAGGGCTGTTAGATGACCAAGAGAGGTTAAATTTCTCTTGTTCCAGTGTTGTATTGATTTTTTATATTATTTATATTAGATGCATAATAAAGCATAAATACAGTGTATATATATTGATGAATTGTCTCAAAGTCAATGCCTAATAATATGTTTTTATTTTACTCAAAATTGCTACTTAAATTGTGTGTGAATATGAATTTACAATTCAACTTCACTTACCTTAACTCCAAGTATACAAGCTAAAAATTTACACATGACCGGTTGTAGCTGTATTTTAAGTTCTGCTTTAAAACATTAATTTCATTCGGTAACGGATCGTTAAATTTGTAAGGGCAATGTGCTGTGAATCTGAGATATGATCATTTTAAAAAAGTTAAATGTGAACTCTTCGTCGTTTTAACCATTCGATGTTGAGAACCATCTGAGGTCATTTACTGACAATATTTATGATATTTTTTATAACGAAACTGTTTATAAAATAATGCATAAATTAAAAAGAAAATCCAAAGTTTTGATAAATGCAATTGTCCTGCTAGCAAGCAAATAATGCAAAGTGCCGAAAAAACAAATTCTGTGTCAAACGTATCGTAGCTATCGTCCGAGTTTACATCCCGAACTTTTTATAGTAAGAAATAAATGATATCAAATTGGAGCTAGCGAAGATGGAGCAGAACATGTAACTGTTTTGATCTTTTTTGGAAGCATTTTTCTATCTCTCCGGTTAATCAATATCAATATATTGGCGTCAGAGGCAAATTAGGGTGTCTAATTGAAAGTGGTGTTAAACCATTCAAAAAGAAAGCCTCAATTTTCAATGCTATAATATGATTATCTTTGCAAAAAAATGGAGCCCCTCCCCGCTTACCTCCCTTCCAGTTCCTATGACATTTCCTTGTTTTTTGTAACGTATTTCAGCGCACGCGCACAGTAGGGAATAAGGATTAAATCAATATTCTTGTACCAGGCCATACATTTAAATTAAATAAGGTTACGACACCTGATATTTCTCTAAATATGAGCCGAACATAATGTGGTAATGAAATTTCTTTTTACAACACAAATAAATCAAATTCGTTGAATGTATTTTAAAATACGATGAATTCTAATATCATTGATTTTTCTTTCTTTGCACAGTTAGATAGGGTTTTCTTAAATTTTAATTTTCCCCACTATCGCAATTTTCTACATGCTGCTTATTCAATTAAATTCTGATTCATATTTTGTATCAAAATAGCTAAATAATATTCATACTTAAACTGAAAGCCATAAGAAAATCCAAAAACGATATATATATTTTGGGGGGAAAATGTGCATTTGTGTCTTTCACTTTTGCCCCGAACTCTTTTTCAAATTCGAGTGTTAAAAACTTAAGAATGTCAACAATGATTGTACTATACGTGAACTTTCTTACTTCGTGCCAATTCATGACTGCCTTTTAAGGACAAATAATTTAAAGAGACACCGTGACATACAAAGGGGAAAATTGACAAACATAGAATTTTTGCATGACCTGAGTAAATCTTGTTCAATTCCTGAAAGTAGTAGGTTTCAGAACATAACAGGTTTCAAAATCTAAAAAAATCTACTTTAATGGAGAAAAATTAAAGTAAAAATTATATCAGTATGCCCCATAAAAAATATATTGCGTTTACGCATTCGACTCTATTGTGCGCGTGCGCAGAAAGTTGAATAAGTTACCATAGTTACCATGGTCTCAAGCACCTCGGAATTAATGTATGTAAACCAAGAATTTTGATGCAAACTTTTTAAAAAAATTGTTAGAACATTTCATTTAACTTTGCATGCTCCAGTTGACTGTTGTTTACAAGTTTGCACTAAAAATAAAAGTGGTGTGTCCTTGACATACACGAAAACAACGAAATGGTAGATACAAGTTGAACCTAAAAAGTTTTTTCCGGCACTTATATTGTGCAGTCTTCTCTTGCTTTGCAGTGAAGTTTAATTGTCATACCTTAGCTGTGTACTATAATTTTCATTAGTCTTTATCTGTATGCTACAGATAATTAAAAGAAACATACGATTTTAACTCCTTGTTCAACTTAAATTACTATGGAAAAGATAAAGATTACAATAAGTGATCGATCTTATTAAAACTACCAACAAAACAATGTTGTGAGCAGGTCATATTCACGGACCCCTGGAAATTTCATTCCAGAGGCAGGATCAGGAGGCTAGCAGGAGAAAAAGAAGCATTTCCTGATGAAGGAAACAAAGTCGTTCACCCTATGTACTGATCAAAGAGACAACCAAATTAAGTATAACAAGTTGTGTTTGTGAAACACTGATGCCCTCGTACAGCAACATAATGAAGATTAACTTTTCTTAAATTCTAATTAAATATATATTGGTACCCAAAGTAGGGTCTTCTCACAAGAAATACGATTGTGAAATATGAAAGCCCTAGCACCATCATGTTTCAATATTATAAGATTTCGAAAGGTAGGTCAAACTCAACGGTCAAGGTCAAAGGGTCAAAGTTGTTGGTCTCTTATGAAACAAGTATTGTCACAAGTATTACATGTGTGAAGTATGAAAGCCCTAGCCCTAATTGTTCAAAAGTTATAGCCGAGGTTAAAGTTATTAAAAAGTAGGTCGAACTCGTAAGTCAAGGTCAAAGGGTCAAATTTCTTGATATCCAATGAAAGGCCCTGTCACAAGAATTAAATATGTGAAGTATGAGAGCAATAGCCCTTCAAAAGTTATATTCAAGGTTTGTTTTTAAAAGTAGGTCAAATTCCAAGGTCATGGCCATAGGGTCAAAGTTCTTGGTATCCAATGAAAGGTCTTCTCACAAGAATTACATATGTGAAGTATGAAAGCTCAGCCCTAACTGTTCAAAAATTATGACCAAGGTTAGAGATTTTTTCATGAGTACGGAAATGTCCAAGGTCAAGTGGTCAAAGTTGTTGGTATCCAATGAAAGGCCTTGCCACAAAGAATAAATACGAGGAATATGAAAGTCCTAGTTTCTACCGTTAAGTTATGACCAAAGTAAAAGTTTGGAATTTTTATGGAAAAGTAGGTCAAACTCCAAGGTTAAGGTCAAAAGGTCAAATTTGGTGGTATCCAAAGAAAGGTCTTATCACAAGTAATACACATGTGAAATATGAAAGTTGGGCAAGGTTAAAGTTTTGAGGACAAACAGACAGACAGACGTACGGACATGACAAAAAATATAAACCCCGAATCTTCGATTACGGGGACATAAAAACCATTTAACAGTTGGTATGAAACAAGTCAGTAAAAATACAACATAATGATAGAATAATTATTTAAAGAATAACGACCATAGAATTGAGCACAAGCTGACATTTCCATTAAACATCAAATTATCTGTTAGAAGCATGCCTCGGTTGAGTATCGAATAAACACCATATGCAGGAAGTAGCAGAATATTTCTACGTCAATAAGGAAAGATTAAAATTGAAAAGCTGAAGTCATATCGTTTGTTATTCAAATTAGTAGCTAGTTGTTGTTTGTTTTATAAAGCCAGAACATCCAAATATTAAATTGATGTTGCATAAACTGGTGTTTTATTTTATTTCACTCGTAAAAATTGAGTCGAGTTAGAAATAGATAATTTTAATTGATAAAACGTTGTGGATATATCTGAATATCAAATTGACAGTTATCCTCCGGCAAATGTTTTCTTCTTCTCAAATAGATTTTGAATAAATCATCGAGAGTAAATCTTTTGTAAAATTGTGATGTAGTTAGCACATAACATAAATAAGCAATCATTCTCAAATAATTTGTATAAGAATATCGCATTGTAGATATCAAAATGAACGAAAAGGGTTACTGTTTTATCTGTCTAGACTGCTAACGCATTCAGCTCCTAATGTTATCCCTTGGCAGTGAGAAAATTACATCGTCGCAAACCACAGCCAAAATGTACGATCCTCTCCCATTCTGGCCGTGGTTGAAGGAGGAGAGAATTCTTCGTAGCTCATTAAAATTTTGACCAATGCGAGTAAAGCATAATCGGAAGATGAACTTCATCGCGACCTTTCAATATCCAATCACAGTAAAGGCAATATTTCTTGTATACTGTTGACGTCAGTTGTTGATTTCAATTGCGATGGAAACAAAAATTGCCACTGACTGAATATGACGTCACAATAGAGAGGCGTAAATATTCAAGATTACGACACTTTTCGTGATCAAGTAGCCACGGGTAGGAGAGAGCTATATGCGGACTCCTGACCGTGGCTTGAGAAGATGGAAAATTATGACTTTACTTATTTTTATGCGCCCGGATCGATAGATCCGAGACGTACATTGTTTCTGTCATGTCTGTCTGTCTGTCTGTTTGTCTGTTTATCTGTTTGTCTGCAAACTTTAACCTTCTCCATAACTTTTGAACCATGAAAGATAGAGGCTTCATATTTGGTATGCTTACTTCACTTATTAAGCTCTTTTAAATGGCATCAAGGTTAATGACCTTGATTGTGACATATATGCTAAAAATAGTTTTTTTTTAACCTTCACCATAACTCCTGAACCATGAAAGTAGAGACTTTATATTTGAAAGTCAATGACCTTGTGACCTTGACAGTGACCTATATGCTATAAATAGCTTTTTCGAACTTTGTTGCCGCCGGGCGCATAGTGTTTCACAAACCTATCTTGTTCTAGATGCGTTTGTCGAGATCCACAATTCGACGCAAATGCATCTCTCTTCTATCGTTTTCGTGGCAGCAAAAAATTATGTTCACTAAAAAATAAATAACTCACCTTGCTACAAAATGGATACTCCAGATGGATCAGTGCAGAGTTTCCGAAAACTATCGGTCCTACCGGCAAAACCGGTAGAAAATCGAAATGTACCGGTCCGTGTGACAGATTGTGGTGAGGGCCTGTCCTGATTATTTATTGTACTCTAATCTATTGTAATATCTTCATAAATGAAAATTTTCAATGTAGCAAGCTCCCATTCTTCATAAATATCCATAATCTTATCCATTTTGCAGTTCTACTTGACTAATTTACTTCCAAAAAACGATCGTTTTTTCCTAATCCGAATTTCCTCCATTCCTCTGTTATTGGTAAACAGCAGTATATAGGTCATGAAGTGCAATGGTCACTGAGAAAACGTATAAAGAAAATTTAAAATATTTATTTTTATTCTGAATTTCTAACATAACTGCTATTTATATATGATTCAATTCTACAGGTGAGAATTAAACTTTAACTTTTTAAAAGAAATCTTGAGAAATTTTCTTTTTCAAGAATTAACTTTTTTTCTAATTAGTTGTTTCTTTCCCCCAACATTTACTTGGGGCTAGTGACTTCATTGCTGCCACAAGCCTGTGTGGGCTGGTGCCAAGCTTGAATTATTTATAGTTTCGTAACCCTGGTATCACAATCAGTGTTGGTGAGCCACAAAAATTTTTACATATTCAATGCCATTTTCTTTTGGATTACATCTGACATGAAATATACACTGTATATTTTTGAAATTTGTTCGGACTGATAGAATATGCTTCGGACTGGTAAAACACATTTAGTCATCAGTCCGAATGACTGATAGAAATATTTGGTTTTCGGAAACTCTGTCAGTGGTGAGTAAACGGTCTTTGTTTAATATTTGCACTTTTATAACTGCAGCTATCATTCGACGTCAAATGCTGTCGACTTCTAGACGTTCCATTTTTTTCGTGCAATTATAATAAAAGGATCCCAGTGCAACGTGAAATTAGTCTATATTTACCAAATCATATATAATTACTTGTCCAAATGGTCATTGATATCGTTACCACACGAGACTCTGACTTTCAACTAACTTTATTGAAGATAAGAATTTCTACACAACAACATCATAATTGCAAGCTCAGCATGGAGAATAACAATGCGTCCAAAATACAGGAAAGATATATCACTGAAAACTCTCACTCAGTGTTTAAGAGTTTGTTGATAACCAAATTTAATTGACGTAACTTTACCACACACTGTTAAAAATGTGCGTAGGAAATAAACACTTCTTTTACTTGTTTAGTTCTTTTGGTATAGAACATGATGTTTTGTTTTTTTTTTAAATTCGGTCAAGTGCAAAGTTATCTTCCTGGAAATGATGCATATATGAACGTTTAATATAAAATTAAGCGCGGTTGGCGAACCAAAAACTAAAAAAAAAAAAAAAAAAAAAATATATATATATATATATATATATATATATATATATATATATATATATATATATATATATATATATATATATATATATATAAAGACAAATCAGTTAACAATGTTTTCAAGAAAGCTGATGAGAACTTGAGAGTGCCAATCACCACAGAAATAGTAAAATACATTTCGAAGGCTTATTATTATTGTTATAGGTTAGGGATGCTTCTGTTTATAAGAACATGATGAGCAAAGTAAATAATAACCTTCATTTTTTATTGTATGTACCTTTTGGGTTGTTTTAAATTTTTTTATTGTGACAGCGTAACATATATTTAATATCAAACAATACTGCTGTATATTTCATTGGCATTTATAATAAATGCTCTTTTCAATTCAAATATTTGTTGATATCATTTTTGGCAAAAAACAGAGCAGAGTAGATTCTGGCAGAAAAATGAGGATTGGTACTTGAAGTAAAAATTGACGATGGTATAATAATAACCTTGGATATTGCACAGTGACTTTATCTAAAGGTTGTGTTTCGGTGTCATGTGATCTATTCTTTAATGACAATAAATATTGAATCTATTGTGCAAAAATATAGATTTTTAAAAATATTTTATTTATGGTTAGTAATTATTGTAAAACTTCAGCATTTTCAGTGAGGAAAACAAACTGTTACTTAAATGCACCTTACGCCTTCATTACATCGTACAGGTTGACGCAATTGGATATCCGAGAGGAAGAGCTTCAAAATTTATTTCTCTTTATGGATGTGAAAGATTGATAACATGTATACTGTTTTGGAAAAACCTTTCAAGATCATCCAGATATTCGTTGTTATGTTTGCATCACCACAGATTTGAAATATTGAACCGTATTACATCACACTGCAAGAAGCACACAATACATATGTACCTGGAGTTTTTTTTTAATATCAACTTAAGTTTGTTTTGTACTACTGCACACACTTTACAAATAATGAAACTATTCACAGGTAAAAGGAATCCACTGATTAATGATTCCGTGAGATCACATGACTGTGTTAGATCAATATTTTTAAGATTTCAATATGATGTTTAAAAAAAATCAAATTTAAAACGAAAACACCGACTTAGTATTACGTACAAAATTTATATTTTAAGTTTTCTTGCAGATCCTTGTTTAAAACAATGAAGTGTTTAGCTTCTCAACACGAATCTTATTATAATGAGAAGTGTGTTTTAACTCTAATTATGTAAGTATTTAGGTTTAAAACACTTTCGAATAATTCGCATAATTTAAACGCATTAAAAAAAGTGTGACAAGAATGTATTTAGAAATATGTCTATCATCTAAAAACATTTTTACAGTGCAATTGTAAATGTCAATGTAAATAAATATAACTGTTATCATTACAGTTGTATAATCAATATTTTAAATATACTGAATGATAATGTATGAATACAAATTATCTGCCATCCAACTTTGTGCACGACAAACAAGAATCGTAGTATTTGATTGATTGATTGTGTATTGTTTAACATCCCTCTCGAGAATTTTTCACTCATATGCAGACGTCACCGTATGCCGGTGAAGGGCTTCAAATTAAGACCTGTACTCGGCACTCATGATCAGGGCCATTGAGCAGTGAGGGTTCTTTATCGTGCCAGCGCCTACCGTGACACGGGACCTACGTTTTTAAGGTCATATCCGAAAGACCCGTGACTTTCACTTCTAGTGCCGAGCGCTTGGCGAAGGAACAGTCACTACCTTTGTTTACGTCTTAGGTATGACGCGGCGCCGCGAACGAGAATCGAACCCGGGCCTCCCGATCACGAAGCGAACGCCCTACCACTAGGCTACCGTGACCGGTTCGTAGTATTTGAAGTTAATTTGTACTTTATTTATTTGTATTTTGCTCCTCAGTAATGTGAGGCATTTATTTCAAAAATTACAAATAAAGGTTACATTCTAGTAATTTAGGTTCAAGCTACATTGAGTATGACCTTAAAAATTTAATTATAAATTTCATAATCACGATATATCAAATTATTGATACATTTATTTATAAAATTGGTAATTTTTAAGAGAGATATGAACGGTGTTTTTTCTATATGCATGCAACAGTAAGAGAAGGGAAGTCAGTTTGTTTATGCAGACTTTTATTTAAAATTTTCTCGTTTTTCATCCTACTAAAGTAGAGTCCGTGTGATTGAAGAAGATGCATTTACACTGATGCTCGGCACAATGCCAGAATCCGTGTATTCCACCGACATTAACACAGTCTTCAAGTGTATGGTTAGCTACCCCTTCTATACATTCGTTTACAAGATTGCAAGCTGAAATTATAATGAAGATTACAATTATACTCTACCTATCGTGTTACGTACAAACTTCTCATGTAGTTTAATGAAGAAAAGGGCATTTTGTCAAGAATACTTGTGACAAATTCAAAGATTCACACATATTGAAATGTATCTTACTGAAAGAACCATGAGCGCATGTGCAATGCCCTTCATGACAACCTGGGCTATGACCATCTGAGCATTTGATACCAGCACTTTGACAATTTGGGTCATGGGTGTTGGCCACATGATGATGCTCAAGACATGAAATTCCTCCTCCCACAGCTTCAAAAGACAATAACATATTATACTAATTGTTTATGATCAGATCATCTTAAAAAGAATTTTTTCTCTCCCTCTTCCGATTCAGGAAAAAAGAAAGAAAATTTGTAAGTAGGTAGTAGATTTTTTTCTTATTAAAAATATCATGTGAATGTGAAGTTTAAGTAGTAGTTTATTGGATATGAAATCTTCGAAAGGCATGATAATTGTATTCTGAAAGAATTATACAAGATTTGCGTCGGGCATTCTGAATCAGTCGGGTGGGAGAAGGCAAGCAAAGAACGTTTGAAAGATGATCTAAGTTTAATGATTTATACCTTAACAATACAATCTGGTACAAAGAATAAAAATCAGAAAACGTTAATATTTTTTTAATGCTTTCTCAATCCTAACGTTAAAAATACAAGTAATACCTACATAAAAAGATCAAATGATATCAGTAGGTTTGACTTGTTAGAGCTTTATATAAGGTTTCGTCAAAGGTCAACATGTCCAAAAATTTATTTTTACAAAAGCTCTGAAACTGTGTGGTTTATAAAGTTCAAACTTTTACAGTTTATTAATATATCATTCATTAACAGATAGAAGGTGTCATTTGATCACAAATACTTTAAAAAATATTTATCGAGAAAAATGTTTTGAAAAACTGCATATATTTTTTTTAAAAAAATACACCTTATTAATTCCGTACTTTTAGTGAAAGCAAATTGGAAAGTTGTTTTCCCTGTTTATTTTGTCCAAATGTTAAGATTAGAAACCGAAAGTACATTGCAGATGGCATATTTTATAGGGGTCTTGTCTTTATACATGTGATGCTTTCAATAACAGCCTTTCGGGGACCATTCACGTCCAACTTGCACTTCACTGATAAACATATATTATTTTTGCAATGATGTTTTCACTAAAAGTACAGAATTAAGCAGGTGCATTTAAATCTAAATATGCAAATTTCTTCCAAAAAAAAAAAAAATCAAATATTTGTTTTGTTTTATACGGAAGCGTATTAGTGCCACGCAATATTTTTTTTAAAGCTGGTAATTCCAACTTTAAAGTTGGAAATTCCAACTTTAATCTTGGCTTTTCCAACTTTAAAGTTGGTAATTCCAACTTTAATCTTGGCTTTTCCAACTTTAAAGTTGGTAATTCCAACTTTAATCTTGGCTTTTCCAACTTTAATCTTGGCTTTTCCAACTTTAAAGTTGGTAATTCCAACTTTAATCTTGGCTTTTCCAACTTTAAAGTTGGTAATTCCAACTTTTCTTGGCTTTTCCAACTTTAATCTTGGCTTTTCCAACTTTAAAGTTGGTAATTCCAACTTTAATCTTGGCTTTTCCAACTTTAAAGTTGGTAATTCCAACTTTAATCTTGGCTTTTCCAACTTTAATGTTGGTAATTCCAACTTTTATCTTGGCTTTTCCAACTTTAAAGTTGGTAATTCCAACTTTAATCTTGGCTTTTCCAACTTTAAAGTTGGTAATTCCAACTTTTATCTTGGCTTTTCCAACTTTAAAGTTGGTAATTCCAACTTAAATCTTGGCTTTTCTAACTTTAAAGTTGGTAATTCCCGCTTTAATCTTGGCTTTTCCAACTTTAAAGTTGGAAATTCCAACTTTAATCTTGGCTTTTCCAACTTTAATCTTGGCTTTTCCAACTTTAATCTTGGCTTTTCCAACTTTAAAGTTAGTAATTCCAACTTTAATCTTGGCTTTTCCAACTTTAAAGTTGGTAATTCCAACTTTAAAAGTTGGCTTTTCCAACTTTAATCTTTGCTTTTCCAACTTTGACTTTTAACGTTTAAGGAAGGATTTTATTATTTATTTACTTATTAATTTTTTGCTTGTCAACATATTTCTTGCTGGGGTGCCCCCCCCCCCTTGAAAAAAAATCCTGGATCCGCGCCAGTACGGAATTGATACATTTAGTTAGGTTGTATAAAATTTAGCAGAAAATGTTTCATTTTAGTAAATAAAATTTGATTAGATTGAGTATTTAATTGTTGTCTCATTCTTTCGTACAATGCATAATAAATGACTAATATCTGTAATTGGTTAAGTTGAAATCCTGTCATGTACGGAATACTGTGTACATAATTTATATGAAGTTGTTCTCAATAGAATTACACAAGAGAACTTAAAGGAATATAAGGATTTCTAAGTAAAGTTGGAAGTTTTAAGTAAGGTCATAAGGAAGGTCAAGGTAAAAAATAAAACAAACACAAAATTGAATTTATTTTAATGTGCTAATATTTATTTTCCATTGTAAAAGTGCCATATTATAACTCCCCATAATCCCGTCCGCTCTTCTTACCTCCTCCTTGCCCCCTCCCCCCCCCCCCCACCATTTCGACCCCTACCCTTAGATTGCAATGATAAATTGCTAACAAATCTATTTCAGTGTGATATTTTACTTTAATTAAGTTTGTGATACTTAAAACAAAAGAAAAAACTAAGAAAAGCGGGTAGAAAAGCCAAGATTAAAGTTGGAATTACCAACTTTAAAGTTGGAAAAGCCAAGATTAAAGTTGGAATTTCCAACTTTAAAGTTGGAATTACCAACTTTAAAGTTGGAAAAGCCAAGATTAAAGTTGGAATTACCAACTTTAAAGTTGGAAAAGCCAAGATTAAAGTTGGAATTACCAACTTTAAAGTTGGAAAAGCCAAGATTAAAGTTGGAAAAGCCAAGATTAAAGTTGGAATTACCAACTTTAAAGTTGGAAAAGCCAAGATAAAAGTTGGAATTACCAACTTTAAAGTTGGAAAAGCCAAGATTAAAGTTGGAATTACCAACTTTAAAGTTGGAAAAGCCAAGATTAAAGTTGGAATTTCCAACTTTAAAGTTGGAATTACCAACTTTAAAAAAAAATATTGCGTGGCACTAATACGCTTCCGTAGTTTTAAAGTGATACCTTCTATCTGTAAATCGATGATATATTTATAAACTGCAAAAGTTTTAACGCATAGCTTTGGAGCTATTGTAAAAATAAATTTTTTGACATGTTGACCTTTGGCAAAACCTTAAAGAACAGGGAGATTATGACTAGATTATGTAGGAATACAGTAATTGATATCAGTAGAACTTGATACAAATTTAGAAAACTTAGGATTATTTATTTAAAGGGGAAAATCATAAACATAACCTTCTAAACATTTTACGTATATGAACTTAACATAAATAAGGATTTGATTTAATTAAATTGATTGTTTAAATTACGTTTATCATTCTAGTAAAGTAAATGAGTAAATCGTTGAAGAAAACACGATATTGATGACTGTATAACTATGAAAGAATCAAACATCATTGCATAATGTTTAGAATTCCTTCTACAATATTTTTTTCAGGTTATTTGAAAAGAATTTTCCTTGTCTACATCAAAATACAATATTAGATAAAGCAAGCAAAACTTACTGTCAGAGCAACGACATTGCCCGTGGACACAAATGGAATTTAAAGTGGGGCAGCTGACACTGGTGCAATGATGGTGCCCATGGCATTCGTGTGTAGCCGCCTCCCACGTCTTATAAACTGTGATTACAAGTTAAGAATAAGTTTTATTATCGCTTTATGTAACAATTCTCTTGGGAATCTTGATTTTTGTTCTTATCCTTCCTTCTTTTTTGGCAACATCACATTGAGAAAAATCAGAAAAATATCCAACATCTATCTATGTATAAACAATTACTAAACTCATGTTTTTCTTTCCTTCTGTAAGGATCTGTAATCTTGTTATAAGTAATTATCTCGTCATAACGAGATATTTAACTCAATATAATGAAAAACGTATTTGTAATATTGAGATATTATCTCGTTATAACGAGTTAAGTTTTTTTTTAATCTTCTTGATTGTCACGGTATCTCAGTCGTTTAAGCGTTTTCTTCGTAATCAGAGAGTCCTAGGTTCAAATTGTTACCGCGATAGACCTAGATTGATAAAAAAAAATATGTAGCAACTGTTCCTTCGCAAAGCGCTTGGCAATTAGAAGTGATAATTGCGGGTCTTTCGGATGAGTACCCCCACCCGGTTCCGACGCCTATGTGGCATGATAAAGACCCCTAACTGCTCAAGGGAGCTGAGTACCGAGTAAAGGTCTAAATTTAATGCCCTTCACCAATATATGGTGACGCCGCTATAGTCTTAATGTTCCCATGGGACGTAAAATAACAACAATCAAGCAATCAATCGGACACTCATTTTCTTGTCATAAATGCTACTGACTGGATTTCTTCGTATAGCGATCATTTCTTTTTTGTATGCATTTGAGGTACAAAGCATATTGCACGAACGCGATTCCTTTATCTAATGTTGTATATAATATTCTTTACATAATAACACATTTCACAAGTATTTCAGGGTATCATTGTCAATTTTCTTAACCATTCGAAAATCTCAGATACACTTCAGTTGGCAATGATTTTGTCATTATTCCATGTTTTAATAATACCCTCACTTATATGCACGTTGTTTACACAAAATGTATGACAATAGAAAAAAGATTTTCAGTTTTTAGAAAGTCTTTTTCTCGTTATTATGCTAGCCATATAAAAGCAATATCTTTTTTAAACGATATAATTTTTAAAAGATTATTCAATTTGATTATGTTATTAGTAACAACAATGACGAGGAATTTATACTTGTATAGGTAAATCAAAACTCACGATAAAACATCAAAATAAAGCAGGCCAGAAAGCGTCCCATATCTGTAGTGTTTCCCTAAACTGCGTCAGACTTAAACTATATGCATGAAAACATGCTATCTAAGTAAGTACTATCGCATGCTTGGAACTTTAACCTTGAACTCAGTAGAGATCAAAACTTAAAGTAGTTTGATACATGAATATAATGGAATCTAGAGGTACTCTAATCACTGTACTCAATGGATAGGCTCAATTTTCACAAGAAAGCAAAAAAGTAACTCTTTATAAAAATATAATTATTTCATTCTAATGGATTAGTATTTTATCATACCGAGTTAGTATCTTGCTTTAAAATGAGCCAATCCAGCTTTCGCAAATACATTATCCGAATCAGTGTTGAATAAAATGAGGAAATATATGAAGATAACGAACAGTATTCAAGTTAAAAGATTCCTTATACAGTATAAAATTGGAGCAGAGCAAGAACTGGGATCAGATGCCATTGACGAATGAGCAATCTCTGCCGATCGGTCACATCAGTGCTTCTTGTCATGATTGGGAAAAAACGGAAAAATACGTCATTAATGCAATGTGTAATTAATGGCCTAACAATTAGTATTGAAAACGTCAGTCGGCATTTGACTTCATGATGGATTGTATTTGCTAACATGGCTATTGTATTGACCATAGAACTTAGGAAATGTTGATTTTCAACGAGGCTTATGATATTCTCATCAACTTGTTTATCAATAACTTACCTCGTTTTAGAAATTGTTCATATGTAGAGCATGCTATTGCGTATTAAGTCGATGAGAGATATAGACCCCATTTGCAGGTCATAAAAGAACATGTATATTGCTGCATAAATTACGGAAATTAACGATTGAAAGTTAGTTATCACGTTTATTATAAAGCTGCCATGTTTTTTAGATTACAATTGTCTTTTTCAATTAAAATATCCCAATGTGTCAGAGTCTGTGGTTTCTTATTTCAAGCTCACCGGGATAGATCTCATCGACACATTGATGGAAATAACAATTGTTAATTGGCAAAACGTCGTCGATATATCTAAATGTCGAGTTGAATGCCACAGCAAGTGTTTTATTCACGTATAAGATTTATTATTGGGTAAAAACTCCTATGAAATATTTTTTTTAGATAGTTATTTAGTCACTTATTTACAGGAAATGGTTCATGAATATAACTTTTTGCTAGAACATGATACCATTTCAGTATTCATTGTTAACCTTTGTTAAAATGTACAGTGGAGTACAGAAAGTATTATGTAATCATAGCAGATAGCCTTCACTCTTCCACGGTCTTTACAGTAGTTCTATTCTTGTTTCTTAAGACCTAGTAAAAATTTATTTATCAGTTTTTGGACATACGAAGACTTGTGTGCATTGAAGTATATATATTATGTTTAAAATAAAATTATACTTAAGATCAATGGAAAAAATACTAATGATAACTTATCTATGTTGCTTTAACATTGCATATCGAAAGAAGTGTTTAAAATTAAAATCTGTTAAATTTTGTATTTTAATTCTGGGGAGAAAAGGTCCACTGAACATGTTCATGTATGTAAGAATCGATTCTGTTTTGCATATCGTAAAGAATTATTGAAGATGATTTATATAATCATTTAACACTATTAAAACAAAGGTGTCTTTTATCTATTTCCACTTCTAAAAATCATTTCGACTTACTCTCACTTGAAAATGACAATACATGTTTTGATAAATAAGGTCTTCCGTTTCCAACGGAAGACCTTCTACTGATTCTGTTGGTAAAAATTATTATTCTTTTTTTTCCTTCTACTTCCTAGACGCCAACTTTGAAGCCTCATATCTCACTCATTTCTCAATGATTTCGCTCAAATTTTCAGAGATACTAGAAGTTACTAAACTCTATCAGAATGCTGTCTAAAATTTCAAAAAGTCACTTCCAGTTTTGAGTTATTTTCCTTTAAACAAAAATTTATAGGCTTTTGTTTCCAGACAAAGGCTCAGAGACGGCTAAAGCTGGAGCAGAAATTCTACTGATTTTAGATAAAACTAGTGCTAATTGTAACGGGGACCGTTACAGATGTTCCCCAAACGCTCCCCAACTCCTTTTTGGTGCCATATTCCCTGTAAGCTTCATTAAATAAGACAAACTCTGTGCATTTTGACTTTAACAACGTTTTCTCAGAAGGATACCAATTATATTCAAATTTTAGCATTGCACCCGTGCGCATGTGAATGCATGTGCGTTATGATCATATCATCTTGTCTACACTATCTACATATTTTAATATACTAAATATTAAAGCATTCAGTGCAAAAGTATGAAAAATCACTCTTTCAAGTGTATTTTTCATTTCACTCGTTCCAAATGCACCCACGTGCGTGCACGTGCATGATGACCACACCTTCTTGTAGGAGTTCTTTATATCTATCTTTATTCTAAATCCCATCCTGTTTGGTTGAAAAACAAGGGAGTTATAGCCATTTCGAGTTTAAGCCAATCAGATTGCAGCACACGTGCATGCGCGTGATTTCATGATTTTTTTTCTATATCATATTGTAGGATATCCTAATGCATGACAATGTTTTAAATTTCAAAGCATTTCGTCAAAAAACAAAGTAGATATAGTTATTTAAAGTTTCAGCCAATCAGATTGCAGCACGTGGGCATGCGCATGTTTTCATGAAAATTCTTATATATCATGCTGTAGATCTTCATAATGTAGGTCTATGTTCAAAATTTCAAAGAATTATGACAAGAAACAAGAAAGATATTGAGACTTTAGTTTCAGCCAATCAGAGCGAAGCGCACGTGCATGCGCGTGAGATCTTACTTTTTTGATCATGTCATTTTGTCTATACTTCTAACATATACTTATAAAATGATTTTCAAAGCATTTCATCAATAATTTAAATAGTTACGTCTGTATCAATTATATTGGACATTTCTCGTGTTGCACGTGCAAGCTCTTGCAAGCACATGTGCATGCACATGCTTTCATGATAAATCTTATATTACAGGCTGTAGATCTCCCTAATATATGACTATGTTCAAAATTTCAAATGATTTTATCAAAAAACAAAAAAGATATTGAGACTTTAGTTCCAGCCAATCAGAGCGAAGCGGACGTGCATGCGCGTGAGATCTTGCTATTTTGACCATATCATCTTGTGCATACTACTAATACATCCTTACAATATAAGTTTCAAAACATTTCGTCACAAAATAGAGAAGTTATGGTTATATCCATTATACATTGGTCATTTTAAGTTTTGCACGTGCGCGCTCTTGCAAGCACGTGCGCGCAAAATGACCTTGATTCCGCAAATCTACATAACATGCCTACTTACCCTAAAAAGGTTTTACCTAAGTCGGATGTGTAGTTTACAAGATCACTCGCGGACAAAATTTTCCCAGGAAGAAAAATAATAAGAATAATAATAATAAGAAACAGAGTAAAAACAATATGTTCCCCAACTTCGTTTGGGGAACATAATAAGGATTCAAGTTGTGCACATCGGTTTTTGTTTTTCGATTTCTCTATTCAAAATGGCGCTATATAGGGGTCAAAAATTAGAACGCTTAAAAGAACCAAAAATTACTCATATTTTGCTTTTTATCTTCTAAACTAAAAATATTTTGTTAAAATATGTTGAACATGATTTGTGCAGAATTAGAAGATCTTTCAAATGATATGTCGGAAAAAGGGCTGACCCCTAAATTAAGGGATCTAGAGGGGCCAAAAGTTTTTTCCAGATATCTCAAAAAGTATTGAGAATTTGTTATACATCAAAGGAGCAAAGTTGTTGAAAATGTCAAACTTAATGTAATGGAGTCGTCAAAATACGTCCAGCGTCGTCACTTCCGGCCATAACCCAGTTAGGCTTTGTGCAAGAGGCAACATTTTACTTTTTAATTAGTACTGAAAGTAAACACACCGGAAGTAGTCGGAAAACGCGTATTTTTGCCGTTTTTGATAAGTTTTTGGGTAACATATGTCTCTGGGAGCTTAAAAATTAATTTTCCATGCGTTGTCGTCACTTCCGGTCAAACCGGAAGTAGCAAATAATGGCTTATTTTTGCATTAATTAACATAGCTTTAGAGGATTCAAAGCATTTTTAGGGCGTTATTTCTAATTTTTGTTAAAATTGAAAGCTACATCCGGTCAAACAGGAAGGAAGACCTACCCGTTGCTTTGCAACGAGCTTTGCTCTAGTTTTTATACTGTTTTACAGTGATAAGACATTACATCTTAAATTTACCTGATTTTGTACTTTTAAAGACAGAAAATATATAAATATATACATTTATGTTAAAAATGATTTATTTAAATCATATATATCTATGGATTTTAGAAAATTAAAAAAACAAATTTACCAAACGAAACAAAAAAACTAACTATCTAATGAAGGAATCTTGATTTTAGAACATTAAATGAATAGATGATTTAAAATCAATTCAATAAAACGTCGAGTTTAAGAGAATCCAGTAGATGAATGGAAGTAATATATATTCAAGTCACTTTAATTTTTTTCAATCTTTACTTTAAACATTAGTAAAAAGTTAATTTACCTGTCCTCTATTCCAACAGGTGGTCATTAATAACTGTTTAAAAAAACAAACATCCCACTTTACTGAAATCATGAAAAACTATGAAATCATTTTTATCACAGCTTTATTTTTTTAAAGGTGTTTATACTTTGACATGCAGAGAATGTTCTTACTTGTTGTGTACTTTTAGGAGCCATTCCTGAAAAAATATATTGATTTAAGAATTTTTGTGTTATCTCTTTCTTGACAGAGACTGTTGTTTGCTAGATTCATGGATTTATGGCATCAATTCAGATTTTTTTTTAAAGGTTCATGGATTTTTATCTTTAAAAAAAATGAAATTGTCTGCTGTCTTTTTTCCACTTTTTAAAATTTCAGTTTTAAATATTAAAGTGGCCCTGTGTCCATTATGGTCCAATCCTGCTTTTTGTGGTCATTTGGTAAAAAAAAATTCTATATATAGCTAACTATAGTTTTCTATAGTTAACTAACTTGTATAGTAAATACTTTGATATACCATGAATTATATGGAGATAGCGAACAATATTCAAACTCTTAAGCCCATTAAACAATACAAAATAGAAGCAAAGCTAA